AGAAATTATCAGTTACTTTGCAATGAAGAGCCCTAAATCCTCCTCTATAAATATTAAAGCTTTCTTAAAATTTTTTGAAATTAATTATTTGAATATCACAAAATTGACATCACGGCATAACCCTTACTAATCTTCAAAGGATATTTTTGTCATATTGACTTATATAAGTCAAGAGAACTTATCCAAGTAACAGCTAATGGAAGCTTACAACTACTTTTAGAAAGACCTAAAAGCACAGTTTTCTATTAATAGCTTATGCTATTACATGCAGAAAATGTTAAAAATGTATATGTGTGGAAGATATTAGGGACCAGAAATAATACTGAATACTAATACAAATCTCTAAAAGTTAAAAAAGTAAAACTAATTTGCACTTCAAAGCATGTGTAATTTTCCATTGTAATCTCTTATTTTGACATCTGTAGACATGTATTTCAGAGAAAAAAGGGGAGAGAGAGAGAGATGGACTGAACATTAAATTTCAGCCAGCTATCTGGAATAGGGACATGATGAGCCATTATAGAAGCTGAATTCTGATAAGCCACAAAGTCCCTGTGTTAAAAATAGAACACAGTTATTAAAATTACCAATGTACAATTAGTTATCCAGTTGCATTTTTTAAAAAGAATAATTTTTCATAGACCACTCAAGTGTGTTCCTCTGAACTGACTTACATCAGGAGCCCGATGAGTCAATGAACGAGGACAAGGTACCTGATGTTGATGACGAAACACAGTTAAGCTTGAAATCTTTTGTCCAAACAGTACCTTTTCATCCAAAGCCTTGTGGTGCTCAAACAAGGATTTCAGTGCTTTGAGAACTTCAACTTCACTGGATACTCCTGAGGGGGACTGAGCTTGTCGTTTTACCACTGTCATTCTTAGCGACCTTTCATGTCGTGACACAAGGCACTCCAAATGCTCCAGTAACAGCTATTGGATTTAACAGAAAATGCAATTAGTTGATGGATACAAGTCTCCAATACCTATAAATGACTTCTGTCTAAAATATTATAGGCTCACATAGTACCTAATGATAATTTTAGATTGCACAGGTTACAATAAAGAACCACAAATCTGAGTCTAACCCAGAGTTCAAAAAAATACCCTAAAAATAAGTTCCATTTCTATCATATAACAAGCTTTTTAAGTTAAAATTATCATGTAAATTATATGCTATCCTTTAGCAAATTTGTAAAATTCTGTATGGGTTCAGTACAAACAGAACACTTAATATGGTATGTGTGATCAATCCAGTAATTTTCAAGGAACATTGCATGATGCATAGTGATTTTTTAAGAGAACAGTATTAAAATTTCAAAATCTACTGAATTCATATTTGGCAATTTTAACATTACAGATTAAAAAGTAATGACCATAATCATTGTAATATTGCTTGATGTTATAGTGATAATCATGGATGATTTAATAACATGAACTTAATAACAATAAATCTTTAAATTACAATATAGAAAATATGTGCAAGTAGAATAGTAACAGATTTTCAGTAGTCATTTTGGGGAAGAAGGTGTTAAGAAAATAATTTTTAAACTGTGTACTCTGAAACCCTATGTCTCTCAACATAGCCTCTGGGGACATGATGGAGGTCAGGGAAAAGGCCAGTATTCCAAGCTGTTCTAGGCTTTATGTTCTGACTGTTGTCTGATGAGTTTTGCTTTGAAATGATTCCTGAAGTGGGGTTGCACTTTTGTTTCATTTTAAAAAGAAGTTCTACTGCTAAAAACAAACTTACATGCAAAGAAAAAAAGACTACTGAGTTAAGTTACTATCAAATATTAAAATTTTTCTGATGAAGAATCACATCTGACTGGTTAGTTTTGTTAGAAATATTCTCAGAAGAAAGCTCAAATTACAGGTTTTCAATAAGTGGGTCTCTGTATAAGTAAATAAAAGAAAATAAATCAGAAGTTAGCTAAACAAAAGAGAAAATACTGCTGTAAGATATAGGGGTGGAAGGAAAAAACTTAATCTGCAAAATAATTTTGATTTGTACAATATCACTATCTGATTCAGTGTCACATATCAGTGTCACATTTCTTAGTGCTCAATGAGTTAATTTCTTTCCATTTACTGTCACTACTTATGGTTCAAAGAGATAGAAATAATTGCCCTCTTATTTGCAGAAAAGGACACAAATATCCATGAACACAAAGACCTGTATAGAACAGTAGATAGGAGTCATATTTAAGCACATAAAATAATATTAATAGTCTTCCTATATAAACATGACACAATATTTTCAGAGATTTCCTTTTGTTTATCAATCTATAATTCTATTCATAGCCTTCTCTTCTCCTGAATTCTGCAGATATTTGTGTGCATTGGTTGAATTCAAACTGTTTCACATTGGTTATGGGCCTTTGCTTGGAAGGAAGATGGGGCAATCTACTTCCATAGTGATACTGCCTTGGAAACCCAAGGAGGCGTCGCTATGAGTCCTGGCCGACTCGACGGCACACAACAACAACAACAATATGGGCCTTTGCATAAATTTAAAGCCAGCTGCTGATGAGTTGATTTCAAATCATGGCAACTCCACGTGAGTCAGAGTAGAACTGTATTCCATAGGGTTTCAATAGCTGATTTTGGAAGTAGATGGCCGGGCCTTTCTTTTCTGCTACTTCAGTAGACGTGGACCTCCAATCTTTTGGTTAGCATCCTAATGTGTTAACCATTTGTACCACCCAGTAATGCCATGAACTTAACTCTACCTCTGCAACATCATCTGGTGGCAAACTCTGTGCCAACCATACTGGTCTACTTTCAGTTCTTCAGTTGCATAAGCCTTTGCATATGTTGTATCCTTTACCTACAGAATTCTCCTTTTGGTTCCTCATTTGGCCAACACTTTCTCCTTCTTCAGATCTTAGCTTAAATTTCACCCTCTCAAGAAGGTATTATAAGGAGCCCTGGTGGTTCAGTGGTTTAAGCATTTGGTTGTTAACCAAAAAGTTCGGCAACTTGAACTTACCGGCCACCCCATCAGAGAAAGATGAGGCAGTCTGATTTTGTAAAGCTTTACTGTCTTGGAAAGCCTATGGGGCAGTTCTTCTCTGTCCTACAGGGTCATCCAGAGTTGGAATCGACTGGATAGAAGTTGTTTTTTTTGTTGTTGTTTTGTTTTGTTTTTAAGGAGGCATTTGCTGACTACTCCATGAAAACTAGATCTCCCCATTTCCTAACCTCCATAATTTTGTATTTTAGTTCCTTGCTCCTTTAACACATCATGATCTATAATGCTTAAAAAGGAGGCAGTTGTCGTTCAGTGATAGAATTCTTGCCTTCGCTGTGAGGGACCTGGGTACGACTTACAGCCAATGCACTTCATGCATGGCCACCACTTGTCTGTACTGACAACTGTGTGTCACTATAATGATGAACAGATGTCAGCAGAGCTTCCAAACTAAGATGGATTAGAAAGAAACATTTGATGATCTTCCAAAAACCATTCATTGAAAACACCATGGATCATAATGGTCCAATCCACAGTGGATTATGGGGCTGTCCCAGGACAAGGCAGCACTTTATTCCATTATGAGTAAGTTTACCAACTCAATGGCCAACTCCGTGGTAATTAACAACAACAACGTTTGAAAAGTCATTTTACTAAATTTCATTCTATGTTTCAATGAAATATAAGCTCCATGAGGGCAGGCATGTATGTCTGCCTTGATTATCTCTGTATTTAGTTTTGGCTCAGTTCCTCACATCAACTAGATGTGTTATAAATATTTGTTGAATATATGAAAGAAAGAATAACTGTAGTCAATTTTCCTGTGTACATTGCTGGCCTGTACCAGACCTAGGTATGGCTAATTGACATTAATTTCTAAAAGCTTAAAGTAATCAACAATGTTATATACACATATGTTTTAGATAGATGATACACTTATAAAGAAACCTAATCCAACGAGAAAGCTGGGCTCTCTGTAAATTAGTGATATCTTGTTTTATACTGAAATCAATGAATATTTCAGTATTTAATATTACATGGCATTGTATATGATAAAGAAATGCATAAGGTATAATCCTTATCCGTTAGGGGGGAAAAACCCACAATACATAATTTGAGTAAAATAGTAGAGTTATAAAGGACATCTGTTATTAGTGACTACTTAAATCTTTTGACCACACTCCTAACATTTGCTAAAAAAAAAGAAAAAAAAAAAAAAAAAAACTACAATTTTCATTTCTCTGTGCAACACCAAAAACCAAAATCTCACTGCCATTGAGTTGATTCTGACTCATACTGACCTCCATTGGGGTTACAAGGTTCCTCATCTTCCTCCCCTAGAGAAGCTGGTGGGTTTAAACCACAGACCTTCTGGTTAGCAGTCAGATGTCTTACCACTATGCCACACAGTTGCTACTATTATACATCAAGTAATAAGTGAGCTGTGTAGGCAAATAGGTTGGGTAAAGGCATCTGTTTTGATCAATTGGGAGTTGCAGAGGAATCATGATTTTTAGTAAAAAGGAAAACAATCCTCTTTGTAGTGGAGCTCTAGAAGCTGGTCTTCAAAGTTCAGCATATATACTATATTTATAAAAATTTTTTAGTATCCATTACAATTCATTGTCTGCTTAAACTAGCTAGCTAGAGTGAATTCTGTTATCTACAGCAAAAAACACTCTGACTCTCAACTCATCAGTGGCCAGCGGTGGTAGCCAGGTACCACTTAGTTCTTCTGGACTTATTAGGGTCATGGAAGCCAAGGTTCATATGGACCATTAGTTCCCTGGGCCAACTGCTGCATTTTATTATATATATATTTATTACCTCTGGAAAGAGAATATAAGGTCCAAAAGAAAATGAAGTTATTTTTGTGTGTTTTGTTTTCCTATTTTGTTTATTGCTATATCATCACTGCGTAAAAGATTGGTAAAAGGATCATAAATACACATGAAATGAATGAAGAAACCATAATTAAAATAGTAGTCTATACCAGATATATCTATAGGCAACAACTCCTCAGAGAGAGAAGTGAGAATCTGGGCTATCTGACCTGCATACGTGTGACAATAATGATTCCATTATGGAAGCAACACTGTCTTCCAAGGTACATGGTGGTAAAGTAGTTAAATATGATCAGCTGAACTTTCTTGCGATAGACTGCTTGTGTAAGTTAGGCTTTGATGGACTTAGTCATGGCTATAATAGACCTTTTTGAAGTGCATGACAAATAGAAGAACCAAGAGGTGAGTTAGATACTTTGAACTCCACTAAAGTGTTTAAAGAAAGAAAATGAAAAGATTAAAGTTTTAAATTCTAGGTCAAGGCTCAATAACAGAACCCAGGAGTTGCAATGACTGCTATAAAACTCTCATATCTATTGAGACAGAGGACTGACATAACAAAAAGAAGATAAACAGATATTGAGAGGCCAGTGAATTACAATGTATGATGAATTCATAGCCTTACCCATTTTCATATATGAAATTCTTGGTCCCACTTAAAAAAAAAATGTGGGGATAAACTAAGAACTAGAAAAATGACTTTGGGGAAGATTCAGATGATTTTGAGTTACTCTGTCTAGTAAATCACAATGAATGTCTTTGCTTCTCTGTTGAAGTTGATTCTATTTTCCTTGAAGACCCTGTCAAGACTTTACTTAAAGAGGAAGCTTTGCTGTTCTTGCCCCACTCCAAATCCTCCTCCTTGTACCGGGCTTCTAATCAGACTCAGATTCTAGCATGGATTAAGCAACAAATTTCAAAGTCTATCCCAAGACAAGAAGGCTTCTAGATTGAAAGATTTGTATAATTTTGATAATTTGTAATGTCAGAAACCTAAGAATTATATATAGAAACATATTCTAATAGGTCTGAAACATTAAGGAATGAGCAATAACATAGATCTGTTTAATCAATATGGCTGTATTTATCAGAGAATCTAAACTTTACTTCCGTAT